AATACTCAAAAGGAGAACCTCCCACATGTAATTAATTTCCCCTTTGCCATTCAGACCTGCCTTGAGAAATTTCAAGGACTTCATTATGAAGAAAGCTTTTAAGAACCATAGAAATCGCATTGCTTTGGAAAGTGCTAATGCATGTGGTGTGTTGTGCTGGCTGAAGCAGCAGCCTTCAGACTGCTTTATCTCTTATCGGTGGTTTCGCTTCGTGCATGAGAAATTCAGAGGCAACTATATAATTTTAAATTCCGATTACCACAAAGAAAGAGATGTGTCTGACATCCCAATGCAGTAGCTTTGACTATTTTAATGAAAGTATGTTGGAACTGGGGGAACCTTCCACCAAGGAGATAGTGATGAAAGACCTCAAGAGAGACATTTTATCTTTGAGATAAAAGGCCTGTTTTCTAAGGTTGCTTCTTTTATTACAACTTTTTTCCCCTCACCTGCTACTGGGGCACCATGCAAATACATCATTCCAGGATCTGCTTCCTTATCCATTTTGTGCCGAAGATTTCCTGGGGCATGGGGAAGAGGGAGGACTTGTCTTGTTTGCAATTTAATGAAATGAAATTTTTCACCTTTCATAGAGCCTTGAGAAATAAGTATCAGGTGCGGGAGTGGATCTGTTTGCCTCTTTGGTCCAAACATCATGCTACCTTTCACCTAAAGCAAGGTATTCTTATCTAGATGCTCCTGTTAAGGGCAGTGTTGCCAATTTAATCCTCTTTCAGCTGTATCCAGATGAAAGGCTGAGGAGCTCCCTTAGGTGACATTGATTAGGGTCTGGTAAACGGTGGTTGTTTACATTAAAAAAAAAAAAAAATTCTTCCTCCCCAACACAGATACTCATACTTACAAGAGTCATTCATAACTGATAACTATTTTGACAATATTGAGTATAAAGCCCCAGATTAGCAAAAGGTATGTTGACTCATAGGAACTTGCCTTACCACACAGAAGCAGAGATGTCACAATTCAAAATATGTCCTTTTTTGTATTCCTTCCACTCAGAGAACAAAGACCCAGATTCTTGGAAACAAAACCAAACTGGCATAAATCTGGTTTCTCCCAGTAACAGCTTCATAAAAATAATTTTACTATATTTTTTTATTCCTGTGTATTTTAAGATGCCTTTTCCAATTATTTATTGGTTCTACCAATGCTTTAGGCCTGGTGTGGCTGGAGGAACGGTTAGTACAACTAGAGGTGTGGATAACTGAGGGGATGGGGGCCAAAGACATGTTAAGTCAAAAAAATGTTCTCTGGAGGACTATGGAATAGGCATCTCGAGTACGGGAAGGTGAGGTGGAAACCTCTATATAAGTAGAGACAGCAGAAATAATCTTTTCAGGAAAGAGATTCTAAATTTAAATCATAGGCTCCCCTGCTTTACTTCTTGTCACACAATGATGCTGACCTGAGGAACCACCTATCTGTTAAGGGTCCTTAGAAAAGACTCTTGGAGGATCACAGCTTTCCTTTTCCACTAAGCTTCCCCTAATTTCATTCTGTCTGTTCCTAAGAATCCTCTGAGCTGTGTTTCTCTGACAGGTGGATCACTTCCCCATGTAGCATAAAGAAGGACTTCCTCCCACAATACCTTGCCAAGTATTCCCAAGCCTATATGGAAGTGTAGGCTTACTCCCTACTCTCAGGAAATTTGCTCTCTTCCCTGCTATATCCAACACATACCACAAAGGACCTCTAGGTCAGGGGTCAGCAAACTTTCTATAAAGGGCTAAACAGTAAGTATTTTATGCTTTGTGGGTTATACAGTCTCTAACACAACTATTCAACCTTGCTGTTGCGGTGTGAAATCAGCCATAGACAACATGTAGATGAACTTGTGTGGCTTTGTTACAATAAAACTTTATTTACAAAAACAGGTGGTGAGTCAGATTTGGTTTCCAGGTCATAGTTTGCTGACCCCCTGTCTAAGGTCAAACCTCAAGCAATCTTTGGTCTATGGTTGCTGGATATGCGATTAACAATATCCAAAGAGAAAAAGAGCTAAAGGAAGTTAAGAGCCAGTTCAACTTTATCAGATCTCTTGGGCAACGTAACAATTATAGAGCTGCCTGCCAAGTTTCCACCTAAATAGACAGATGCTACCATAAGGGTTTTTGAAAATCACCTCTGTCATAGTCTAGTAGTTTCCCAAGACTGAACTTTTATGACTTATTGAGCAGATATCAAATAGAACTAAATACTAAACATATTTGGGGATCAGTTTTTAATTTATAAAAATCTTCTGAAAAGTATTAACATGATAGAACTTCAAGTATAGTGAAGATTTGTTTGAAATCTTTGTTATGCCACCAACTGCTTCATGTACCGAAAGGTGCGATTGTCTAGAAAATATTATTTATAAAGATTAGAAATCTCATTTTTTTTTAAAGTAGGGATTAGTAGATTTTAATGTAAAGGCTATTTTTTTTTCCCCACAATTCAGATAAAACTTTCTCTCATAACCACGGACAGATATTCTAGTTGGGAGAAAAAGATGTACATTGAAAAACTTAGAATGCATTTTACTGATTTCTAAAGTCTGAACTCAAATATCTAATTTAACCCCTACCAAATTTCCTGGTAATTACCTTGTATATTGTGGTCACCTTATAGAAATGACAACCAGAAGTTTATATCATGGCTGTTCCCAGTAGGTCCTTGATTTATATTCTTGACTGTTATTAGTATTGACATTTTTATTCTATTTGTAATCTGATTACCTCTTGGATTAAATTTCGCATGTAGGATCACACCAGTCTTTTTTATGGGCATAAAACTTCCAAGATGCTGATCGCAGTCTTTCAAGTGATGATAGAAAACGAGAGGTTCCGGGAACTTTTTGCTTTGTCATCCATAGATTATGTACTTGAGATGGCAAAATGGAAAGATATTCTGTCTACTTAAAACAAACAAACAAACAAACAAAAAAACCCCAGACTAAATCTGTTTTAAGGTATTTAGTCACAAAAGACCTTATAGCTCTTATTTATCTAAATGATATGGGGTAGGCCCCCCTCATAGCCAAGGAGGGCCTTTCCTGGCTTGGAAAAACCCTGTACGTGGTGATATACAGATTGTGGCAGGCTGGCCCTACAGGATGTTAATAATACTGGTCCAGAGTAATCTGATGTCTTTTATGGTTTTCAGTTTTAGACCCTAGTGCTGTAAACCAACCAATCATATGGTCTTGCCCTAACATGGACCAGCCCAATTCTTCTGCATGGGATGTCAAGTGAGCGTGCCTGGAGTGAGCCTGGGGCCTGGAAGCCAGTGGCATCACTGGCCAGGCAAGGTCTGCCCATCCCCCCACTTCTAAGTGGCCAAGCAACACACAGCTTGCTTGTACATCCCATGTGTACAAGCCTCAGCCCGACGCTTGTGTGTCATCTCAGAAAACATCAAATCTCTCATTCATTTCCTACAAAAAACCTTTCCCTGCTTGTGAAGTAAGAAATATTAGAATCTCACTGAGGGGGAAAACAAAAAGAAAGGCAACAAACACCACTCGGGCCTACAAATACTACTTCATTTAGGATTGTGGGGCCACTGCTCTCCAAATGGCATCCTAGGACTATCCAAGCCAGCAACATTTCCATTCTGGGCTCCCTAGAGTCCACATCTGTCAGCCACTAGGTCAGTCTGTCTGTCAGTCAGCTTTTAAGATGCCCACTCATGACTAAACCAACCCCTCCAATCACTCAAAATAAACTACAGGTAACAAGATAAATAAGATGTGCTTCTCCTTGCTGAGTGCATTGACTTAAGGCATAGGCACATTTCTCCCTCTTTGAACAGAGATGTTATAATCCCCTGTCCCAGCACAAGAGCTGGCCAGGGTGACCCTGGAGCGTGATGATGAAGGTGGGGCGATGAGAGGTAGCTGATGGCGGGAATTAGAGTACTGCTTCCCATCCAGGGCAGCGGGCGCTGCTGGGCCCCAGGGCACACAGTGATTCTGATAAAGACACTTGACTCGGTCTATGTTAACTTTCAGTGAGCAATTCTGGAGGCATGCAGTACTTTAGATCGGTGATTCTTGGAGAAAACATAACAGGGGATTCAGGAATAAGAGTACCCCAGCATTGATAAAATGTACAATAAGATCAAAGCTAGAGAGTTTGTGCATGCCTTTAAAAATAAAAGGCATGTCTGTATATTACCTACCAATCCCAAGAAACAAAACAGGTTCCTTATGCTGTTCTTAATTAATTTGACTTCCATCTCAAAATGGCTTCTCTTGGGGTAGCACTTCTGCTCTTAGGGATTTTTGATTGACCTGATTGTTTTGGGTTGGGATCTGTTGGATAAAGTCAGAAGTGAGAACATAACAGCGCTGGAGCTGTTTTTCCTTTAAACAGAGACATATTACACATTTATTCTTTGCCTGTCAGGCCGTTGAGTAGCTTCCGGCCACCAAGGAGCAGCTGTTATCTTATTTTGTGCTGATTTACAGCTCCTAATTTGACTGCAGGAGAATATGTGAGTTTGAAGGAAGCGAGATAGCAGAAGGTGGGTGAGCAGTTCAAAATTCACTAAAATTCCTCCTCCTCCAAGCTCAGAAGTCCTGATACGTTGGCTGCAAAGGTAAAGGGCAGCCCTTTTGAGTTCCTACGGCTGACTTGTATGAAATTGCCCCTTCCCTCACTTGAAGAGGGGGAAGTTGGCCAGCTCTATGAAAGCTTAAAAAAAAAAAGGAAATGAAATGTCTGTTTTTGATACAAGGGTCTCAGAGCTAAGTGTGACTTGGAGATTCCCGCCATCACTCCCTCCTAACAACACTAAAGGAGAAGATACGCTATTACTCGAACATGTGGACGAACATTCTGTCAGTGTCCAAAACGCTGTGTGATTCTGAATAGTCTGGGCAATGTTGGGCCTCAATTAGGATTTAGATTTTTGTCACTTCGGTGATAGGGATGGGATGGAAAATGACGGTGGGTATCACAGGGTCACCCATGGTTCCTTTTGTACTGAAACCTCATTTTATACAGAGGATATATATATATTTATTTATATATATTTATATATTTTTATATCCACCCACACAGCAAACACACTCGAGCGTACATCCACACACGCGCACACACACACGCAAAAGGTCTTTGATAGGCTTTCTGTGTTCTAGTAAAAATAGCTGGCAGTCAGTGTCTAAAGCCAAAAAAGGCCTTTATGCTGCCAACAATGTCCACTATGGATAGTCTCTCAAAGGCAGACACTTGTGTTTATCTGACAAGTGGACCCAGTTCCTGCCTGGGACAGGAATAATCTCCCGTTGGCGCAGACGCAGATCTCGAAGACTTTCTGCCTCGTTCCTGTAGGCGTGTAGGATCCGTGAGGCAGTCTAGGTAGTTTGATTTTCGCAGCATCTAACTTAATCTAAAGAGAGTGAATAGGAAGGAAAGAGTCAGTCAGAGGTTGTCATCTCTTGACATTCAGAAACAGTAGGTGAGTATTCATTTCAACTTAAATCTCATGAGCACCTACTGTGTGTTGATTATTCTTGGCACTGGGGAATTAGAGATGAGCAAGACAAAGTCCCTACCCTCACAGAAGCTTATATTCTAGTAAGATAATGCTGCATTGGCCTATATTAGCATTTTGCAAAAGAATGTCATGTAGAATGTGAATTGAATCCTAGAATGAAGGAAATGTGGAAATGCTACATTTAACAATTTTCTTTACCACGGGACTTCTTAGCTCTGATATATGTCCGCGTGCAAGGTGAGTCTTCAAGAAGAGAGTAGAATATGCAATATTTTTCAAGTTTTAAATGACTGGTGAGCCTTTTTTGTTTTTTTAACTATGTGGCTGATATTTTATAGAATATACTTTGAGAAAAACATGCCTATAAAAATAAGCAGTGGTGGAAGTTGCCATTAGATTTATATCATAACTGATTCTTCCAGAGTTCAAATTTGGATAGCTATAAACTGTGTGTGAGGTAGTCACTATTTTTATGTGTGTGTGGTTTGCAGTTTGTGGCTGTTTGGAGAGGCAGTTGTGATAACTGAATGCTCTACCTCTTTTAAAACAAAATAGCAAATGCCATACCCATCAAGGGTGGGGGGCTTTTATATCCACAGAGTGGACGTACAGAAGCAGGTGGGGACTGATAACCTCTCTCATTGATTATAAGGTGGAATAGAGTTTTGCTTTAAAAAAAAATAGGTTTTTCCCCCTCTTATATTTTTTCTTAAATAGAAAAGTTTACCTATGAACATTTTGAAGGCATTTTAAAAAGTTTGCAGTCAAATCATATTTTGAGGTGGGGGTTGGTTTACCTTGTTTGCAAAAACACAAGCAGCATTTCTGGTCACCCAGCTGGGATCGTGTTGGGGTAAGAGAACGAATATCTGCAATCCTTCATTCTCTTGTTGCCTAGTCTTACCCTATTAAGTTTTGGCTTGTTCTGGTTTTGAATAGCTATTGGATCTGATTCTTCATTCTTAATGAAAACAGAAATGCACAGCATGAAATAACTATAAGTAAATTAAGTTCATCTTTATCCAGATGTGGGTAATATACAGCCTAATTATGCAGGCTAACTGAATCTTATTTTAGGGTGACAACAGAGAGAATTTGAAAACAGCATTCATTTTTACGGTCATATAATTCTGTATTTGGAATACATGCCATTATCTTACCCCTTTACAGATAATGAATCATAACATTATGTATTGTGGGTTTGGCTTCTAGTCATGTTAAGTTATTTGTTTTGGAAATAAAACCAGCTGCTTGGCACCTTTGTTGATACAGTATAGGATCTGCCTCGGTGGCAAACCAGCCATGGGAAAGGTTGGCCTGTGGGAGCCTTTTTGGATGTCTGTCCTTCCCAGCCCTCACCTCTCCATCTTTGGACTCCAGTCTCAGCTCTGTTCTGCAGGTAGCTTCCATGTTGCCAGCCTCTGCATTGATTTCTACTCCTTTTGGGGCCTCCATCACCAGAGACCGGGTCGGAGACTCCAACCTGAAATACACACAAGACTGAGATTAAAGATTCCATTTCCTTTTTGGTAAATTTAAGAGGAAGTTCGTCCTCAGGGCACTGAAAAAGCATTTCAGTATTTGATGAGGGAATTTTTCTAAGTTTTGCTTTAGAAACTTGGTCAAATTTATAGGAAAGAACACGACAGGTCTAGGTTTTGTCTTCATTGCGTTATACTAAGGTTGTATGGAAGGAATTCTAGGATCCTGATTCTGTTTATCTTACATGCAGTTAATGTGCTGGTATAATTAACCAAACTCTTAAGCAATATATGAGTAAAGCAATCCCAGATCTAAACTGAGCTTCCTAGAATTGGTAGGTATTTCTTCTACTCTGTCCTGCTTTCTGTGTCTTCCATGGAGGTAGAATCAGGGGTCAAGAAAATAAATCTGGGAGTCAGACATGCTTGGAGTCAAGGCTTGGGATGGCCACTATATGACCATGGGCAAGTCTTCCTTTACCTCCTCTTTCTTTTACTTTCTAAACATTTTTAAAGCCTCAGTTTCCTCACCTATAAAGTGCTTCAAATAGTGCCTGACATTCTAGAAATGCAAATCTGTATTACGGTAATATTACATATTACATATTATTGCTGTTACTGTTATCATGCCAGCGAATCATAAGGAAGTCTCGGGCCTTCTCCATCAGTGCAGTTGTCAAAAGAAGATTCAGAACAGATCAGTGGTCGCCGGGGGCTGGGGTGGGGAGGTGGTTTGGCTGCAAATGGACAGCATATGGAGGGGATGTTTTGGGTGATGGAACTCTTCTGTATCTTGATTGCGGTGGTGGTTACATGTTTCTGTGTATTTGCAAAAACTCACAACTGAGTGAATTTTATGGTATGTAGGATAAACAATGAGAAGCAGTCATATTCTATGATAATTATGATGGTATAACAGAGGATAACATTCCTTATAAAGTTTTTTCCTTAATTCATTTCATGAATAAAATATTAACTAAAACTCAATCATCCCCTGAAATATGCTAGATTTTACTATTGACACCAGACAGGAATGTTTGAAGATGCTCATCTCTGTTACAAAGAAAATATCACAGAGACCTCAGCAATAGCTCCCAAACAGCTCTGCTCCAGCCTGGTTTCCAGAGTTTTATTTCTCCGTTTTTAACCTTCAGGCACCTTGAACATGTTAAAAAGGAACATCATCCTCTCTGCCCACTGCTGGCTCCCTGCTCTGTTTTCATCACTCCCTCTGGGTGGGACAAACCCTCTTGGGCCTCAGGAAGTGGCGAGAAGAGCGAACTGGCCAGTGGGATCCACCAGTGAGCCCTGCCCCAGCCATTTGACACGGATGCCCACAGTGGGCTCGTCCACCCTTCTCGGGTCCAGGTTCTTGATGATCGTTCTAGGCAGCGGCCTTCCCCCTTGATTTTTTCGCCTCTCCAATGACTCAACTAGAGTCTTAAAGAGAAGTGACAGGCCTATAGGACTTGTGAAAGGAGGGACTTGAGCTTCTATTTAAGGAATCCTTTCCTTTCTGACTTCACCCCTTTGTGTGTGGCTAAACTCCCCACTCTCAAATCTCCATCTCTTAAGAAACTCACCAGGTTGTGCTGAGCTGGGTGTGGTTCTGCCTGCTATGATGGTCTACTTCATTTGGATGTGGTTTTTCCCCATGACAACATCAAGTGCATTGAGGAAGGGGTCTTGTTACCGCAGCAACAGGGGTTGACTTCAGCAGTACCACCTTGCCTAGGACCTTAATCCAGCTCAGTGGAGCTTCCCCTGTGCTCTTGACTCCCATCCCTTTTGAATTACGAAGATGATTTTGTGCCATTTTCTCTTTGCCTCTTTCCTATACAGTCTAGGTGACCTACATAGTTTATTCTGAGTTTTCTAACTCATTTGTTTCTGCTAATGTTGATGCCTTTCTCTTTGTAGCATGAACTTCCTTATATATTTTTTTTCATTTATCTTTTTTAGAAAAAGGATCTCACTGTGTTGTCTAGGCTAGAGTGTAGTGGCATCATTGTAGCTCACTGTAGCCTCAAACTCCTGGACTTGAGTGATCCTCCTGCCTCAGCCTCCTGAGTAGCTGGGGCTACAGGGGCATGCCACGATGCCCGGCTAATTTTTTCTATTTTTTTGTAGAGATGGGGTCTTGCTATGTTGCCCAGGCTGGACTTAAACTCCTGGGCTCAAGTGATCCCCCCACCTCAGCCTCCCAAAATGCTGGGACTACAGGCATGAGCCACTATACCTGGCCTCCTTATACTCTTATAATACTGCCTGCTCAATCCTTCCCCAGGTGAGTCTTCCTGCTATCTTTTCTTTCCCTTCCTTGCTTCCTTCTTCCCTCCTTCCCTCATTGTACTGGTTAACTGAACTTTTGACTCACAGCATGTCCCTTCTTAGTATATTAGGTCATCTCCTACCTGGGCTATTGTAACTGCTTCACAAGTTTTGTCTCTAATTTTTCATTTTCCTTAAGGTACTTCCCATGAAAATATATCTTCCTGAAATAAGTTTTAAATATGTCACCTCCCTTATTAAAACCTTCACAAGTTCCTTAGAAAAGATCTGAGCTTTTCAAGCTTATTTAGCCATTTAGAATTTAGCCTGACCTGTTTCATTGGTCTTATTTCTTGCCATAAACATTCTGCACATCTTATCGAGGGCTTACTAGGTGATGACACTGTGCAGAGGGCTTTACATGTGTTATTTCACTTAATTCTCATAAAACCCTATCAATCTGGTATTCCTGCAGTTCTGATTATACAAACAAGGAAAGTAAGGTTAAGTGACTTGCTCAGGGTTACACTTTTAGTAAAATGGCAGAACCAAGATTTGAACTCAATTTAGTGGACTCCAAGGCCAATATCTGTTTACTATACCAGATTACCTCCAGGAAAACTGTACTACTTTCTGTCCATCACATCTGCACCCTGTTCTCTATAATTAAATGCCGCCTCTTTCCTTATGGAATGAACACTTGTATTTCTAAAAACCAATCCATGTAAATAAGAGTAAGGTGATAGTGCCATGTATGGCTGAGTGATGCATATTTTGCAGTATACAATATTTCTCATAAACAGTCTACATCAGTGACAACAAATTTAGGAATCTGTTCAGACTTGGAGCATAGCATTCCAAGAATGATGCCATATAAAGAAATGGGAAAAAGAAAGAACTTGAAATAGAAAAAAATGCATGGAGGTTCAAGAACCGTATCTGATGCAGTGCTGGCATTTCAGACAGACATTAATATTTTATTAATAATAAGGATTATAGATAAATTGAGATCAGCCAGTGGGTGCCGGGGGCAGAGAGGTGGACTCAGAAATGACCGCTGCCTTTTGGCCCTCTCAGCCTTAGAAGAACCAGGGTGCTGAGAGAGGGAGCTACTCTTGAGTGTCCTACTGTGAAAGGCTACAACAAGGTTTCCTGAAAGCAGGGACAAAAAGGTACCTGGCTTTCTGTTTCAAAGCCCGTCTTAATGTCCTTTGATGTTCAGACAGGCTCAGTACATTTGTTCACATGCTAATCTTTGCATGGAGGAAAACTCCTACAAGAGCCCTGTGGGAGCTGCAGAGAGCAGACAAAGCACTCCTGCAGTGATGTCAATTTCTGAGCACAGATGAATGACCACAACACAGTTGCTTAGATGGCATGGACCAAGGAACAATGGAAGGAGGTTTGCTCCTGACTAGGGGGTTGTATGGCAATTGAGGATCCTGTTGACTCTTGGAAATGAACACAGCTTCCATTAGGCCGAAGTGCAAACCTCCCAGAGGAGGAGGAAGA